GAGATTGGGACGTCGTCGGAGAAAAGGAGTGGGAAAGTGCCTGCGTCGTAGCGGCAGCAATGGAAGCTACTCCATTCGGATTCCTCCGAAGATACGCTCCATCAATTTCACGAGCGCCCGCAAATCACTCGCCCCGGGGGAATGGGCCGGGGGGGGGGAGGAGGAGGAGGACACGTGGACGACGGAGGCGACAGATGGAAGGCTACTTCGCCGGCTGCCGAGCGGCTGGTTCTTCTTTCACGGCCGTGAGTTAAGTGTGACAGTCACGCGGACAAATGTTGCTCATAAAGGACGGAACATTACTTGAACATATTTGAGGGGCGGGGTCGGTCACGTTTCAACGGAGACTTTTTTTTAAACCTTTTAACGCATCTCTAATGAACTTATTTGGCACAGTACACTAGACCTGTTATACGTCTTGCAGAACCAAATCTACCATACTAGTTCCACTATCAGAAACACGATTTAGAAAGAGAGCTTATATATTTTTTAATTATTAAGTTCCAGAATTTTCGCACAAACTCTACAAGCACGACATCAGAAAATGAACAACCGGATTTACTCGCCAAAAGATTTAATTCAATTAACTCTGGCCGGCAGCTGCGTTGCCGAGCGCCCTCTAGCACGGCGAAACGTGAACCAGGTCCCTCATCGCTTTTCTGCACTTTTACATATCTTACTCTAAATTACATCTACACTCCGAATAAACTAGTTATGCTTGAAACTAAAATGAACACGTTGAACAAGTAGTGAGAATACTAATGACGTGTTGTTGACGTGATTAAATGGTGAAATAACTGAAGTCATCTTCGTTAACGAATTAGATTTGTTCAGAGAGACGCCCTTTTGTGACCACTGTGCGACTCCAGTTACCGCTCCTGCGGCCGGCCTCGTCCCAGGCCACCTGTTGTAGGCACCGCCCGCGTTCGCAAAACAAAAGCGTTCAAGATGCCACCAGTGGACTGGGAGTACCGGCGTCCGATGTTAAGGTACCATAATGAACTCGTACCATGGGCTTCTCATCAGACTTGTAACCATAAATACCCCACAGAATATAAAGTTAACTTTCAAGAATCGCTAGACGGAAATCAAATTTTCGGTGTGCGGCACAGGGAAATTCGTGTAATTGGAACTGAACAAATGGGTACCTGACAGATAGAAAATTTATGTAAGTTGATTTTTAAGTATTGAAATTCTTGTCCAAACTGAAATTCGTGTTACGCCTGTAACCGAGAAAGCTATGGTTGCTGCGTCCGCAATGTAATAACATTGGATTGCTTCGTTAGTAAAAGTGATTGTAGGAGAATAAAAAATTTTTAAAAAACAACGGAAGACGGCATCAAATAACCAGTTTTGTTTTATTTAAATACAGTATTTAAACATTTTAATTCGAGGAGACATATGCAAGTTTCTATGATGCCATCATTATTCAGAGTAGTCCTGCCATTCTGGAAGACTACGAAAGTAAATACGATATGAATATTTGATTTACTAGGTGGTAGATCTGGCCTTACACGCCACTTCACTCTTCACAAACACAAACACACACACAACAAAAAAAAACAACAAAAAAAACAACAACAAAAAAACAAAGAGCTTTGAGTACATACTTCCTACCACATGCAGGTATCTTGAATCAATGCTTTCAACAGTGATTTATGTAACGTGTCTCACATATATCTCCCAAATAATAGAATAAAAATGTTCGTTTTATATATGAATGAATCATTACATAGTCAATTTTAATTTCTCTTAAAAAAGGTTAAGGTAATATCAAAGAGTTTGTTCTTTCATAAATTACATTCAAATAATTTATTTACAATTATAAATTTTTATTTTGTAATTCACTCTGAACAACCATATTTTCTCTTTCCATAATGCTCTTACCTATAGTTAATAATGACTGTATGGTGACCAAATAATTTGAAATCTTACTAAAACCACTAGTGTTTTAATAGGAATACACCATAAAGAGAAATATGTTTTGAATAATTGAAATAAGTCAGTTTTTTTTTCTTTCAGACGTTTGGTATCACAAATTCAAAAGTTGCCATTTTAACACTTCAACATATGAGAACATTGCAAATACTGCACAGAGAGTACTCTTGGCAATATTTCGTTGAAATGTCTGGCTATACTCTGAAACATTCAGAGTTAATGTCATTTCACAGTCAGAGTAGCGTGAATTACGCAATGGGGGACACAATTATAGTACAATATGGTACGATGGAAATGTACAAAATTACAGTATAATTATGGTACATGTTGTAATGTATACGATTTTATATGATTTTACACTATAAACTTTAACTCACGTGATCAATAGAGTATTCGCAAATTAACGCCAAGATATCAATTTAGGACGTTTCTGTTACTTTATTTGGCAGCACTGAACCACACTCATGAGAGAGATAAACGATTCACAAGTTAAAGTAAGAGCGAGCGAGAATTAATATCTAATCTTACTTTTAGTATAAACTCAGTAACATTTCAGTTTTTTAATTCCTTTTTGTAAATGATACAATTATAGTACATTTATTTTTGGGGGGTACATTATGATACGATTCTATAATTATCGTACGCTATGGCAAACCTGTTCACCGTCGAATCCAAATCGCAAAGAGCGTGGTTTAAACTACAAAGGAACTATTTCAAACACTCGACGTCGGCAAAGTACTATTCTTTCCAGGGAAGCCAGGAAGCGCCAGAACTCGTCTGCACAATGCCTGCAGCAACAGCATGAATATTATATTCAAGTAATGCGGCGCCATAGCGGTTGCGAAACGGACGCAACTCCGGAATATATTGCGAATTTTTACCGCTGCTCTTTTCATCCCAGATTCAATAAAATTAGTTCTTTGTGGGGCAACTCGACATTCCTACAGCGGCTTGGTGCGAACTGGGATTCGCACTTTCTCGTCGTGTGGTGAGAAAACAGACTGGAACACAACAAAAGAACAAAAAATTCACGAGGCTGAATAAATGAATTATTGAAAACTTGCGGAGAAACAAGACACAGACAATCGTCTAAAAAAGAAAGGTTTCATTTTATTCTGAAAATGCAGAATATAAAAATCGGCGAAAAGGGAGAAAATGCATCTAAAAGGTGTTTCTCCTGTAAGAGTCATCCTGACAAACTAGGAAGTACATCAGAATCGTTGTAGCAAAGCAGCGTGTTGGAAAGGAATGTAATATTGATTTCCAAATGAAGCTTCTTCCAGCAAGCATCACGTAACATGACGTAAGATTCCCAGTCAAGACATACCATTTCCGAAACAATCACTTGCACATGTATCTAACTCGATTTAAGAATAGACGGTTTAAATTCAGAATTTTAAAGAGGTTACGGAGGTAGTACCTAATGAAAACAATACTTGGTCACCATGCTTTAAAATTAAGTATTAATTTAATTTCAACAGACAAACGAATATTGCCGAAGCTCCATATGGAAAATATATTCCTAACGGAAATATTTTATCAAGCTTCGGATTCACATTCGATTTAATTGACTACATAATATTCACTTTTACACGAAATTAGGACGACTTTTCCTCTTTTTTTAGGGCAATCTGACTCTTTCATGTTGAGGAATGACGGTTTCGGTAAAAGTAGGAAGGAAACGACGGAGTGTTCCGTGAAAGAAAATCAGCTATACGAAGTTCACCCTTCTCTGTTCACTAGTGGACTGACTGCTTAGTGGTGCTATACCATTGAAGACAAATGCAACTTACTAGAGCCTTCAGAGCTGCACATCTCAGACTCCAAACGGTCTACAATGCCTCTTGCTTTAGCGCAACACTAAAAACACACTCTGCTTTCAAACACTGAAAGCACAGCTTTACTTTGTGGACAACACACTCAAGAGGTTGAGTAAAAAACACATTTCTTTCTTTAGTAACGGTTCGTACATGCACAAACCCAGAAAGGCATTTACAAATACTAAGATGAAATGCAAAACTACAATTTACTCATTATTAACTTTTTTTGGAAAATAAATAAGAATGTTTTGGGTTGAATTATACAAAATATATTTATGTTTAAAAAATGACTAAGCAAGTCATGCATAAATTGTCATTCTTAACAACGATATACCGATGTCAAATGATTATGTGATAACGATTAATTCCACTTACAATACATATTTGTTACTGTCTTTAGCAACACATTAAAACCAATATTGCAAAATTGTTACTGGACGCAGGAAATGTTTAGAGGGCCTCAGTCGTGCGTTTGTTTATCTTCTGCTTCGCATAAACTTTCACGAACTCCCAAGCGTCCTTCGAATCTACCACAAAAGGGTCCGCTCCTGCGTCCACAAGAACCCTCATGATTTCAATCCGGGAATGAATTTTCGCAACACTCAATGTCTCATTTTTCTGCTTATCAGTCACGCCTCTCTCTAGAAACAAGGAGAGGATTCTCACGTGTCCTTGTTTGACAGCAATATGTAGAGCAACCAGATCTTCATCCCATACACCGGCGTCTAGCAAGACAGACACGCAGTCTACTTGGTTGTTTTCGACGGCCAATCTGAGAGCGCTCACACTCCGTTCGCCCAGCACGTCGACTCCCGTGGCGAGCACGGCCCGCAGCGCCTCTGCGCTGCCTTTGGTCACCAAAGTGAGCAGAGCTTCTTCGGCGACCTGGTGGAAGTGGTCGGGCGCCACGTCTGCCAGGGCCCACACCACCTCGGCGTTGCGAGCGCGCTCCAGGGCAAACTGTAGCACCGGGGGAATAGCACTCGCGCCGCATTTAGACAGCGCTTTGACAGCGTCCGCGCTGCCACCTTTAGCCGCTGCAACCAGGAGCATCTTCTGGAGATGGTTTGTAGACGGAGCTCCTCCGCTTTTGTTCACAGGCTCTTTGATGAAAGCGCCCCTTGCCAGCAGCGTCTCCACTGCCTTCCCGTGGCCCCCGAGCGCAGCGTCCATAAGGGGGGTCTCGTCGTTTTCGATGCCGGCGTTGATGTCGGCGCCTTTCTCCAACAACACCTCGATTACCTCCACGTGGCCCATGTTTGCAGCGACATGAAGTGCCGTCAGCCCCGCGGCGTTCTTCCCCTGCACGTCCAGCCCCTTCTCCAAGAGGAGCAACACGGTTTCTCGGTCTCCTCCAGCGGCGGCGTGGTGCAGCACGGAGCGTTGCTGGGCGTCGCGGCGCTGCGGGTCGGCGCCCTTCTCCAGCAGCAGCTGGACGAGGGAGGCGTACCCGGAGAGGACGGCCGTGTCCAGCGGCGTGAGCGCGTCTTGCTGCGGGGTTGACACCACGCGCCTTCGCCAGCAGCAATCGCGGCGACGGCGCGGCCCTTACCACGTGGCGAGGTGGCAAGCGGGTGACGCCCTCCGCGTTCCCCGGCGTCGGGGCGCGCCGCCAGTCCCCACGGGCCTGAGCAGGGAGCAGGCTGCGTCGCGTTCGGCCGCCTATGGCGCGGCTGTGCACGAGCGCTCCGAACTTGTGCCCGGCATTCGCCGCAGACGCCGTCCGTTCCAACGCCGTCCGTTCCAACGTTCCGCCGTTTTCCAACGCCGTCCGTTCCAACGCCGTCCGTTCCCAACGCCGTCTCGTTCAAACGCCGTCCGTTGCAACGCCGTCCGTTCTCAAGCACGGTCCGTTCCACTCGCCGTCCCGTTTCGAACGCCGCTCCGTTCCCAACGCCGTCCGTTCCAACGCCGTCCGTTCCAAACTGCCGTCCTTTCCGCCCCCGCCGCCTCCAGCACGCCTCCAGCGCCGCCAGTGCCCGCCGCCCGCGCAGTGAGAGGGCTGTTGCCCAGGGCGTCGGCGCTTCGTGGGGTCGGTGCCGCCTTCTCCAGCAGCCACCTGCAAGAGCTCGTCCGATCACCGCCGGCGCGGCCGCGTGCAGCAACGTGCACTGCCGTCTGGTCGAGGACCGCGGGCCGAGTGAGCAGCCAGCGCTCGGGCGAGAACCCGGGGGTGCGAAGGGACACTCCCGATGGCAAGCTTGTATCCCCTGCAGCGTCAGGGAGCAATGCGCATGACTGCACTCCCATCACGGGCTGTCGCTTGTCTATTTTGGCGGACAGCGTCTCCACTGCGGGAACAAGAGACGCTAGGGCTCTGCCCAGTGCCTGCTCCTGATGATGTATCCGTGCTTCCATTTTGCTTTTCAGCTGCTCAACGGCTGCCCTAAGCGCTCTTACCTCTTGCGCGCAATGGCATGAACAGCTTTCCCCATCTCGTTGACTCACGATATCACCGGAATCCATTTTGACGCAATGGGCGGAGTTACTTTCCTTCTAATAGTTCACTTATCGTATCGGCAACGTTCAAATATCAAGCACTGTCTCTTGTCACGAGACTACTGAAACGCCTCTCGTTTTTCTGGTTGTATTTCTCTCGCGTAGATAAGATACAAAGCGTTTATCGCATTTCCTCCTTGGTTTCCTCGACGTCCTGCCAGTGTGGCTCGCTATCAATTGTCACTTCCGGATAATTAACATTAAAGTTTTTAATCAAAAGACATTCTTAAAGAGTTTTTGTACAGCGAGAAGCTTTTAAGCGTGTTATCTGAGCCAGTGCGCATGCGCCAACTGGAATTCCAAACGATAGTGAAGAGCGCTATTCCACCGGATTTAGCGGGCGACTTATATGGAATGCTAATCGTTCACTCAGTCAACCTATTTTTGTTGACAACTGTGGCACCAGTGTAAGCAACCAATTTTGAATGACCATGATGCAACATCATGTTGGGAGAACATTTTATGTATATACAGATCAATTATGAAACGGCAACTTAAATTTAACAAATGCAAATCAAGAGTATGTGGCATTATGGGAATGACACACCCGGTCGCCACAATCCAGAAGTTCTTCCATTTCCATTTAAATGTTGTGCAAAATCTATTTTGGTTTGACCCGCTATTGGTCACGTCATTGATGTACGCGATGCTCTATAATATGTCAAAATGTCTCTTTTACTCTTACTGATGTCCATTTCGAACTGCTTCTGATCGATACGTACGCACGTAAGCCACAATCTTTTATGTTTTGAAAAACCCATCGCGACACAATTTACTCACAAAGTATTTTTCATTCACTAAGGTTCACCACTAACGTTTCCAAAAATCTTCTGACGTTATTCAACTCCTTTATCGCTCGTTGGTATCAAAAAACGGTTATAACGTGGGGCGCTACTTTAATATTGCCGCATTTCAGTAGGCTGTATCGAGCCCAAAATTGCTTTTCGGATTTGGGGGAGATTTTGTGCGCAAATCCTCTTATAGTGATGAAACCGAGCTTTCGGAGCTTCATATTTCGGTAAAGGGAAGGTGCTGAGACACCATATCATGTTGATCTCTGGCAAGAAGTGAATGTTATAGCCGTCAAAATAAAAGAAAGTTGCTGTAACAGCAGCAACGGTTCAAAATGTGATATTCACACCATGGACTTAATTGAAACAGTCTACAAATTCTCACCTCTTGAGACAAATAACGAAGAAGACTTCAACATAAAAATCTTGAGTTTCTTTTTGCACGATTTGTTTTGTCTGGTGGAAGTAAATATTAAACACATTTTTCTGGAACAACCATTTATTAATTCTACAGCACGCGCGCAGTATTTGCAAGCTGAATTATTGTACCAAGCTGCTATAATATGCAAATTACTATAATTTGATTACTAACCTACTTTCCAAATGACTATACTACGCAAATTCGACCTAACATAGATTAAACATTCAGACAGTTGATTAAAGAACGATATCAGCTCTGTCAAAATACCCCCCAAATACTTCCCTGAAAGTCCAAGGGCAGAGAGGGCCACGTGCCTGCGGCAGAGTCCGCGCCCTCCTCTTCTCATGAATTCGGGGCATCGACCTGCGAAGCGCGCGTAGGGCGCGGGGTATCGCTGCGCGCAGCAATAACGCCCCGCCCCGCTCCTCCACCCCACCTACCTCATGTATGTAAGCTCCTACGAAGCTCTTATGCTTCGCGCGTCCTGCATAGTATATACCGCGCACGCTGAAGCTGCCACGGCTCCGCTGTGCTCTGACTAAACCTGTTACCTACGGTACTCAAAATACTGCCCCCCCTCCTGGAATTATGGTAAATCGATCTCTATTTCAGAAAGACCCTGAAAAACTAAAAGTTGTCCTATGCAAAAATGTTCTCTCTATATATCTTCACTTTCTCACCTCTCTCGCCCTCTCTGTATTTGTTATTCTCCTCTTTTCTTTCTCATTGTTTTTCAATCATAATTATATTTCTTTCAATCATAATTACTTCAATCTAAATCTTTGTCATTCTCTCTCGATCTCTATTTTATGTACGTTCAATATCCTGAGCGAGTAATTTCAGGTTAAAAAAAACACTGTCTGCCCCTCAATTAGATTAACAAATTCGTTACTGGGAAACACTCTGATACCACTCAGCGGATTTTTGATTTAACAACGTTCAGATCATTTTGCTTAAGAAAATAGAAGGGTTGACAATATTTCGAATTATTGTCGAAGAAAATATACACCTTTACATACCGATTATACACAACAAAAAACAAATATATGAACTGGCGAGAATGGAGAGCACATTACGTCAGCATACATTGCGGCTGCCCCGCAATCTCCCCTGACCTCGCCACCCGATTACCAGAATTGCAGTGCTCTCTCAGTTCAAAAATAACGCCAATCACCGCTCCAGTCAACTACAGCGCTGCGTGTTTTGGAAATGCGCAAGTTCCGGTGACATACAAGTACACGCTGCATATATATATATATATATATATATATATATATATATATATATATATTATATATATAATATATAAATTATATATTATATATATATATATGCAAATTCTTCGGGAATCTATACTTCTAAGCATAAAACTGTAAAAGAAGTATTGCTAATATTATGAGGAACACAATGATGTGTTTCTCCCACCTGAATTTACTCATCCAGTATTTCATAGAAACCACTTTCATTTCACATTTCCTACAAACCTTCATTTTTCGGTTTGTACATCGTACACTGACGACTAACGCCACCACACAATATTCTTCTGCCTTAATTTCCACTTCTACAATCGAAAACAACTCACACCGAATACGTTCGCTTTCCACTCCTGTGAAACCTTATCAGCACATTCAAAACTAATTATTTTATCCTCATTGCTTTCACCTTTGCCTCTCAACGTTTCTTTTCATTTCTCTCGTTTATCCCCCCCCCCCCCATCATTATCCACCTTCTCTACGTATCCATACACATACGCCGCTTTAATTTATTTAATTATTATCACCACTAGCATCACCATCAAATCACCCTCCATTTCCACCCACCCCCTCTTGCAAGTTCACATGTTTCACCCTTCGCTTTTCCTTTTTCCTGTGTCGTCTGAAAGTGCTACGCTACGTGGAAGCCATGTCGAAACCGGCAGGCTACTCAAAATTCAGCGGAAGTGAATTCAGCATGTAGTACTCGCCGACCGGCATCGTATTTCCTGCCTCTGAACACGGCTAGGGTACTTCCGGGAAACCCTCCCGGAATAATGTAACGATGCAGACACGTCTTAAGAGCGCGGAGGGTTCAATATTTAGACAAAAAGGTCGCTTTGGCACCAGCGTGAGCGAATGCTGACCTAGGAAATGGCCATCAGTAAGAGGGCGTGCAAATCACCGAAGGAATAAATACTATAAAATGCATAGATTCTGGAACTTGCTCCAATTTTTATGATTTCCGAATCGAAATTCATAATTGACAGGGTCTCTAAATCGGGAATATACAAATATGTCTAAACTTCTCTCAGTGGTGAATAAGGTTAAGAAATTACCAATACTTTTTACTGTCACTACCGGTGCGTGCATTTGCATTATCCTCTGTTAGCTCACCGGAGCGAATAATATCCAGCTTCGTGACCCAATACGAACAATATATTACTCAGTATTCAAAGCATTCTCTTCTCGCTTCCAATTTCCTCACAGGATCGGGAACGAGGGCACGTTGTACTCACTGACCTAATTTTCCCTTTCCAAACCCCAGTGAAAACTGATTCCTACAACTTTTTACTATTCTGGCGGCAAGCTGGAAACGCTCGAGCAGATTCTATGAAGTGAATCGCGTCCCGACTTCGATATTTCTTTTTTCCTCGCGGTTGAAAGCAAGGACATGGTCGACACGAATAACTCCTTCGCTGCTTAGTGAGCGCAAGTTCGCGACTAAAACTGGCCAAACGAGTTCGC